CACCCTCTCGTTGTACAGCATGCGCTGGGCCGCCATGGCCTGGCTGTCGTTGGAGTCGCTGGGTAGCAATATGCAGTCAAACACCACGCCCTCCAAGGTGCGCCGGCTCTGCGCCAGGGACAGCACGGCCTTCATGAGCAGAATCATGAACGCCTTCTGCCCGCCCTTCATGTTCAGGTCGCTCTTCGGGCGCTCGCCCTCCGGCCACGGCTGCCTATTCCTGCCCCAGTGCTCGCGGCGACCCCTCTTGCCCGACGCGTCATCCGCGCAGTTGTCTTCGAGCGTCATCGGCATGGTCCCGAATGCGAAGATACGCCCTAAGTCTCGGCCCCAATTGCGCTGGCCGTAGAGCATGCGCCCTGGAGGAGGGCCAAGGCCATGCTCCACGGCGTCCAGAGGTCACGGGCGGCCCCGTCGGGCAAGGGCGAGAGGGTGACGGAGCCGTTCGATCGTGAGGATTACCATCTGGCCCTTTCGAGGTGAGACGGGCTCCGCGCCTGGGCTGTGCCGATGACGGGCCCGCCAAGGCAAGGAGGGACCGCAGCCGCAGCAGGCGTCGAGGACTGCCCGAGCAGGCACTGGCGATCAGGGACCAGGAGGTGGAGGATCAGGGATGAGGTGTGGACCCCCCAGGAGGCCCATCCGAGAGGGCAGGCAGGATCAGAGAGGTGCTGCCGAGCCCTGGGCCCCAGCGCGACCCCCTGCCCATGCCGCCCCCGGTTCGGGACGGGCCGAGGTCGCCGAGTTGGGGGGGGCCCTGCCCAGGAGGAGGAGTGTCCGACCCCGAGCCCTGAGGGGCCGACGTTGGGGAAACCCGATTGGGACCCCGACAGGCCAGACGTGGACGTCAGTGACCTGTCCGCGACCGAGGCAGCGGAGGAGGTAAGCCCGGACGGAGGCGCAGACCAGGGACAAGGCGAGGCGGAGGCCAATTACCCCACGGGAACCATCGGCCCGCAGGCCAGGGTCATGCGGCAGGAGCTGAAGAGGTAAATTGGCGCGGTGGGCCCAGCGGGGGCGGCGGCCCTAGCGGCTCTGCGGAGGAAAAAAAAACAAAAAAACAAAAAAAAAAAAAAAAAAAAAAAAAAAAAAAAAAAAAAAAAAAAAAAAAAAAAAAAAAAAAAAAAAAAAAAAAAAACGGGGGGGCGCCCCCTTTCGGGTTCCTATGACCTGTCGGAGGCCCCGATCGACCCAGAGGCGGTCAGCAACTGCCGGAGGGCGGCTGGCAGCCAGCAGCGGAGGGTTCTGGTTGGCCGAGCATTTCCGGCCTGCAGCCAAGGATTCGCGGCGTGCCGGGGCCCTCGGGCAGACAGAGTACGTGGAGGAGTTGGAGGATGTGGGACAGCAGGCGGTGCTGGCCTTGGTGGCCCAGGGCACCAAAGGCAGCTACAACGCGGCCTGGTCAGGTCAGGTCAGGTGCGGCGTGCGCAGAGGCGCGCCATGTGCGGGCTGCCGCGGACCTCCTCGCCTTCTCACACGCGTTTTCTCGCAACCGCCACCTTCTCATAACACGGCCTGGCAGCATTGGAATGTTTTCTGCCGCATCAACGGGAAGAGCCCCATTCTGGACGTTCAGACGAAAGAGGAGAAGCGTGAGGATGAAGAGGAGCTGTTACTGTTCGTGGTACATATTTGGAAGAATCTCCACCAGGCCCACGGTACGATTCGCACGAAATGGCTGGGGGTAAGGGCTCCGTATGTGTGGCTCGGGAAGCCAGAACAACTGCTGGGTAAGCCTAGGCTTTGGATGGCGCTGAATGGAATTGAAAGGCCACAGGACCCAGGAGCTAGGAAGCTGCCGGTCACGATCCAGATGCTCGAGAACATTAGGAGGAGGTTAAGGTCGGAAAGGAAACCAGACGGCGCAGTGCTGTATTACCCAATCATCACGACCTTCTTCTTCCTGATGGGGATCGGCGAGTATGCGTACGCGGGCTACTGTAGGCTACTGGGACCCGAAGAAGTCCTGACGGGGTTGGACGTGGCCGCCAAGGCGAAGGGCGGTGCAGCGACTCACTTCGCTCAGGCGGACGAGGTGGTCTTGTGATTCAGGCAAGCAGGACGGACCTGCCAGGTGCTGGCATGGCCAGGAACCACTACCGGGCGGGCGGAGAGATCTGCCCAGTAGACAAGGAGGCACACCTCCCGTTAGCGCGAGGTGGGCGGACGGCCGCTCCGTCGCCAGACAGAGGCTTCGGGAGGAGCTGCAGAGGGCAGCTGAGGGGTACCCAGCGTCGCAGTTCGGGTCCCATTCGTTGAGGATTGGAGGAGCCACGGCACGGTACCACCACTGCGAGGACACCGAGGTGGTGAAGAGGTGGGGCAGGTGGAACAGCGGCGCATTCCACCAGTAGTACCTGTGGGAGGCCAACGAGACGGTGCGAAGAGTGTCGACGGCGATGGCTGCCTCCGTGTCAAGTCTACACGTGGGGTACGCCGCGGCGAAGGAGAGGGCTCGCAAGAGGGACAAGCCCAGGTCGGACCCGGCAGGAGGCTGAGCGCTCCGAAGAGGGAAGGCCTGAGGAGTGTTCCCGCCCCCCCCCCCCCCTTGATCAAGGGTGGGCGGCTGGTGCGAGGTGCCAGGCCCAGAGCAGTCATAGGGGACTGAGGAGGGCCGTGGCGCCCAGCCCGGCGAGGAGCGAGAGAAGGCGCAAGCCATACTAGCGGAAGGCCACGTTGTGGGCCTGAGAGGAGGCGGCGGGCACCTCCGCCCCGGGCTGACGCAGCGAGGCGCGCCGAGTACGCCAGCGTACCTCAGGAGCTGGGCGGGCGAAAGTCCACACGAGGAGGCAAGCTCGAAACTGTGAGGGACCCGCCGCTGCGGGACGTCTCACCCTGGAGCCGAGTGAGCAGGAAGAGGTGAGCTGAGAGCCGCCGCGGCGACAGAGGGCCCTGCTCTGTCAGCGGGCGGGCTCTTTGACGTTCTGCGCGGCACCTGCCACAAAGATGCCGCTGTCGTCTCTGTCGCATCGTTGATATTAGTTACTGATTTGCGGGTCACCAGCCCATTTCAAACCTCCTCCTCCTCCTCCTCCTCCTCCTCCTCCTCCTCCTCCTCCTCCTCCTCCTCCTCCTCCTCCTCCTCCTCCTCCTCCTCCTCTCCTCCTCCTCCTCCTCCTCCTCCTCCTCCTCCTCCTCTCTCCTCCTCCTCCTCCCTCCTCCTCCTCGTCCCCCCTCCTCCTCCTCCTCCTCCTCCTCCTCCTCCTCTCCTCCTCCTCCTCCTCCTCCTCCTCCTCCTCCTCCTCCTCCTCCTCCTCCTCCTCCTCCTCCTCCTCCTCCTCCTCCTCCTCCTCCTCCTCCGCGTGGCTCTGGGGCCGCCGAGAGCCGCGGAGAGCTGTGCCAGCCGCGGGTGATGCCCACGCGCGTCACGCCGGTCGTCACGGCCGCAGACGACGGCGTCAAAGGGTTTCCAGAGCAGGTGGCAGCACCAAGATCGCCGTGTCACAGCCTCGAGGAACACTTGGCGGTGATCGATGATGGCTCTCAGCTTCAACGGGCAGCCAACGAATGGCAATGGAGCAAAACATGTCACGGCTGACCACACGACTGCGTGGAACTGGCCTAGATAATCAGCGTCGCCGCTCCACCAGCCATCGGCACAGCAAGAAGCACGGGCATGGTAAACACGATACAGAGAAGCGCCACAGGCAAGCGCATTTATGGAAGGAACATGTGGAAAGCGGTACTATCCTTCACACGAGCACACGAGCCAGGCTCGAGCAAAAAGGCTACGGAAAGAGAGGGGAAATAAGAGGGCCGAGGTAAAAACGCTCAGGAGCAGGACATCGACGACGTCGATGACAAAGCAGCGGCAGCCATGACAACCTGTATAACCACCGGAACCACGAATCACCATCAGCACCAGCACCAGCCACACACTTTTGGTCGGCGGGGCGAGAGCGAACCTCTTCCGCTAAAAGCTAGGCGGGCTACGAGCACCAGCCACACACGCGATCGCAGACTCCCCAAGACAACCAGGGCGCCACCGCCAAAGAAACTGAAATAATCACAACTGCAGCCACACGCGTGAGCGGAGCCGTCAGCCGCAACCACCAAAACGCACACTCACACAATCACCACTTACCCCAGTGATCATACCACAGCGGCGCTAAGCCACAACCGGAAAGGCAGCGACGGCAAGGACCAGAGCCTCACGGCCCAACCGGCAAGAAGCAAAGGAAAGGACGGCAGACAAGACTGCGACTGCTCTCCTGCGGCGCCGCCCCGGTCAGCTGCGAGCTGTTTGCCTCGCGCGGCGGAATGAGCTTGCGAGGCGCAACATCCTCCCTGCTCCTTCTTTCCGCTTCTCCTCTCCGCTCCTATCTCCTCTCAAAAACATGGAGATCAGACACTGGACGAGCAAGTGGGCCCGTCCTTCGCTGAAGCCAAAGACGCCATCCTCCCTTTCCCTCCTGGGCCCACAGGCACCGCTGCTGCGCAGCTGCACGACATCAACAGGCAGCCGCACGGCTGGAGTGAGCAGGAGGTGGAGGCCAGCGCCGCGCGCTGCGAGGAGGAGAGGGAGCGGGGGACGAGGGAGGACGAAGAGCAGGGGGAGCAGGCAGCGGAAGCGGGGAGAGGAAGCGAATGACTGAGGAGCAGGGCTGACGACCAGCAAGAACAGCCCGGCCCTGCCGCGCTCTGCCCTGTCAGAGAGCGGTTGCGGCCGGCCGCGCATTCGCACGAGAAAGGCCCCGCCTCTGCCCCCTGCTCCCGAGGCAGGAGGGGGGAGGAAACGCCGGGCTGGCCCTCCTGTGAAGGGGGCGGCGGAAGAGCGGGAGCAGCAGCAGCAGTAGCAGCAGCAGGAGCAGGAGCAGGACGGTGGAGAACAGGAGGGATAAGAGCTCGACTTCGGCCACGAGGATGGAGCGGGGAGGAGAACCGAGAGAAGAGGGAGGCAAGAGGAAGGGGGGAGGAGGGATTCCGCTGAAGGAAGGGGAGGAGGGAAAGAGGCAGCAGAAGCAGCAGCAGCAGCAGGAGCGAGAAGGACGAGCAGGAAGTGGAGAAGTGCAAGAATGATGGGAGCGCCCACTGGGAAGGTGTTCGAAACTAATGGCACTGCCTGCAACACGGGTGCTCCATGCAGAGAGACGGTGGCTCGACGAGAGCGCAAACGTTGCCCCGCCCCCTCCTCCTCCTCCTCCTCCTCCTCCTCCTCCTCCTCCTCCTCCTCCTCCTCCTCCTGCTCTCCTCCTCCTCCTCCTCCTCCTCCTCCTCCTCCTCCTCCTCCTCCTCCTCCTCCTACTCATACTCCTACTCCGCCTCCGCATCCTCCTCCTCCCTCCTACACATCCTCCTCATCCTGCTCGTCCTCCTCCTCCGCATCATCCTCTTCATCATCCTCTTCATCATCCTCATCCCCCTCACTTCCTCGTTCCCTCCACCCCTTCCTCCCGTCTGCATCCTCCTTCCTCCCCCCTCGCTCCTAAAACCGTCTCCCGCCATCATTCAATACATTCCGCCTCCACTCCCGCCGAACGGCCCACGAGAGCCAAAATCAAGGAAAAAACTATGCGATGGAAAAAACAGATTGTTGGAAGTCCGACGTTGCGGCAAAACTACAGCAGCATGCAAAACCACGACAGGAGCCCTAGACCCCTAGAGCCCATCTTGCTGCGGAATCTGTAGAGCCAGGTCGATCTGCAGTAGTCCCGGAACCCGCCACTGGGCGAAAACCGCTGGGGCCGTCACCACGTCGACACGGCGCGAGTCTGCGCGGCGGCGCTCACTTGAGGCGATGGCGCGGCTTCTAAGAAGTCTCCGGGCCACTCTAAAGAAGGCCCCTACGCTCTGCGAACCCCTCCGCCTGTTTCTTTGATGTTAGCTTACGATGTGTGTGGTAGTGCTTGCTTGTTGTCTTTTGTCTAGAAGCCCTCCGCCTACTTAGCAGCCCGCCCCCTCGTGGCACGTGCGTGATCCGAGCCGCCAAGCCACCTCTTTGGACGCCCGAAATGGGTACGGAAAGAATGGGTACAATGCCCAACAGCAGTTCCTCTTCATTTTGAGCAGGACTCGCTGTCCACGCCGCCGCGGCATGTGTCCATTCGGGACAGAAGGCCGCCTGCCCAAACGGCGGCCGCTGTTGGTTTGGGACAGCATCTGTTGTTGGGCAATGTACCCATTTTTGTTCCGTACCCATTTCGGACGTCCGAAACCTCGCACTGAACCGACCGCCTCCGGAGGAGGAGGAGACGGAGGAGGGGGGTGGAGAAGGAGGAAGAGGAGGAGGAGGAGGAGGAGGAGGAGGAGAAGGAGGAGGAGACGGCGGAAGAGGAGCAGGAGGCGGAGGAGGAGGAGGAGAAGGAAGATCCGCCACCTCGTACTCACCCGACCGCATCCGCGCCTGGAGGCCCGGCCCAGCGGCGCGGTGGCGCCTGCTCGCCCCAGCACAGCAGGCTGGCGTGGCCGTGGCTGTAGCAGTAGTCCAGCTGCGGGCAGGCAGGGAGACCGGGGGGGAGGCGGAGGAGGAGGAGGAGGAGGAGGAGGAGGAGGAGGAGGAGAAGGAGGAGAAGGAGGAGCAGAGGAGGAGGAGGAGGGAGGAGGAGGAAAGGAGGAGGAGGAGGAGGAGGAGGAGGAGCAGCAGTGGACTCAGGAGGAGGAGGAGGAGAAGGAGGAGGAGGAGGAGGAGGAGGAGGAGGAGGAGGAGGAGGAGGAGGAGGGGGTCCTCACCGCAGCTGCGGAGGAAGGGGGAGGGATGGGAAGGGGCAGGGGACTGGGACCGGGCATGGGCATGGGTATGGGCATGGGCACGGGGACGGGAATGGGAACGGGCCGCTCGCTCGGGCGATCGCCCGGGCCCGTGAAGGGCGGAGCGGGCGAGGCCGTGACCTCGCCACAATGGCCGGCGGGCTGCGAGCCTGCTCAGCGAGCTGGCCTCGGGGAAGCATCAGGAGCGGAAGTCGTTACGAATAGCGCCTCCAGCTTCGTCCAGATTGTATCTTCGGTTGCTACTTTGAGCCATTCGGTGCTGTTCGCGTCGTAACTATTGCGGGCGCGTCGCTGTTGTACGCCGCTGTACACAAGAAAACCAAGTCTGCCATCATCCCATCACTTTGAAGAATGAGAAAACAGACAGCAAAAGGCAAGGAGAAAAAGGCAAGCGGAGGGCGATGAGGGGCGTGATGGGGGTGCATGGCTTCACTGAGCGGATCAATATGACTCGTTCGTGACCCCGGCCAGCCCCAACATTCGCCGTCTTTCCTACTCCTAATTTGTACTCTGGACAGAATCGAAAATGGGGGGGACGGGGGGGCAATGCTTTCCGCACATCTGCACATGGCTGTGCGCAGGCCTGCGTAAACTGTGCGAGTGCCGTACGCACGCACCCATTGGTGAGCTCGCATGCGCGCGTTCGTGCTTGCTGCTGGGAAGATTGCCTCCGCGCTCCGGATGACGCCTTGGAGGCAGGCGGCGCCCTGGCGCATCGCGACAAAAGCAGCAGCTGCGAGGCCAAACGAAGGCACCGACCTTGATATCTCCAGCAGAAAGGAGGGGAGACGGAAGAGCAGAGGCGGTGCGGAAGGTGCAGCACTCAGGGGAAAACGACTCCTCCTCCACGAAACGCATCATGGGCGGCGTCTGATAGGCGGGCGACCTGACGCAGCCGAGCCTAGACCTGCCTTGCCGCCGCGGGGGCCCTTCTCCTCCCGCTGACTTCAAGCTGGCTCAACCAACTGAACATAAGATCGAGAGCAAGCGCGACGCTGAATACGGCTGGACCTAGGGCAGCAGAACACCCTTGAAGAACATGAGACCCTCCTCCGCCGGCCGCACTGAGGAGCATTCGATGGTACCTTCCCCAGGATGCAGAATAACATCAAACGAGCATGAAGAACATTCGGGTACCCTCCCCAAACGGACTTTGATCTTATACCTCGGTCTGACCGTAGTTGGAAGGTGTTGGAAGGCACAGGAGCAGACCCGCGAACCTGGACAGAAGGCCCTGCTCCCATACCAAGTCCACGCTGTCGGCACAAAAGGCGCGAGACGGAAGCCCGCTGGGGCAGGCCCATGGAACGCTTCACGAAACGCCGCCGACACCGCACGCGACAGCGGAATGAGCGTGCTGTCCTCCTCCTCCTCCTCCTCCTCCCCTCCTCCCTCCCCTCCTCCTCCTCCTCCTCCTCCTCCTCCTCCTCCTCCTCCTCCTCCTGCTGCTGCTGCTGCTGCTGCTGCTACTACTATACTACTACTACTACTACTACTACTACTACTACTACTACTACTACTACTACTACTACTACTACTACTACTACTACTACTACTACTACTACTACTACTACTACTACTACTACTACTACTACTACTACTACTACTACTACTACTACTACTACTACTACTACTACTACTACTACTACTACTACTACTACTACTACTACTACTACTACTACTACTACTACTACTACTACTAGAACTACTACTACTACTACTACTACTACTACTACTACTACTACTACTACTACTACTACTACTACTACTACTACTACTACTACTACTACTACTACTACTACTACTACTACTACTACTACTACTACCACTACTACTACTACTACTATTCCTCTTCCTCCTCCTCCTCTTCCTCCTCCTCTTCCTCCATTCCTTCTCCTTGAAAAAATTCTCCACCCCGAAACCAGCTTTTAGGGCGGTTGGGGTGGTTCGCCTGAGATGTCCTCACCACTTATGACCCTGAAGCTTTGAAATTGGCAACAGCTTCACAGATGAGGGCGGGTCGTTTTCACTATGTCGCTCTCGCTGTAGCGCAACGCAGATCCGTTTGTTAAATAAATGCAACAGCTTCGCGGATTGAGGGCGACTGGTTTCCAAAATGCGGTTATTCCTTAGCGCCGCGCACACTCGTCGTTAACATGTTGCCAGAGCTTCAAGGATTGAAAGCGGCTCGTTTTCAAACTGTGGCTCTCGCCTTAGCGCCACGTGCACTTGTGTTTGTTGGGTTGCGAGACTTACACGGATTCCCATGATCCGCGAACCAGACGTAGCGCTTTGGAAGGACTCGGGACTTTGAGGGCGCAACAGTTACGTTGATTCGCGGCGTTGAAATCCCAGGAATAGCGTTTTGGCACGAGTCTGGATCCCCATGACGCAGCAGTCAAGTTAATCCGTGGCGTTGACATCCTGAGAACGGTGTTTTGGCATGCACCAGCGTCTTCCATCGGCTATCTTCCAACGAGGCAGTACCCGCAGTGGAAGTGGTCCGTTGTAGGGGCCTATGTGAAGGGAGCTTGGGCGAGGGTTGACTCCAACATCGTTGATGACTCTTGGGCTTACACTGGTCTTCCTCCTCCTCCTCCTCATCCTCCTCCTCCCCCTCCTGCTCCTCCTCCACCCCATCTTCCTCTATTCCTCTTCCTTATAAATAACGTCTCCCTATGGCACCCCGAGGCGTTCCGACGGTCTGGGCGCTTCGCCTTCCTCACCATTTATGACCCTGAAGCTAAAAAGACAACAGCTTCAAAGATGGAGGACGGGCCGTCTTCACAATGCCGCTCTCGCCTGAGCGCTGCGCACATGCGCCTTAAAAGTTGCGAAAGGTTCACGGATTGTGGGCGGGTCGTTTTCAAACTGTGGCTCTCGCCCTAGCGCCGCGCACATTCTTTGAACATACAACAGCATCACGGATTGAGGGCGGGTCGTTTTCCAAATGTGGCTCTCGCCCCACCGCCGCGCACACTCGCTTCAACAATTCACCAGGGTTTCACGGATTGGGGGCGGGTCGTTTTCAAAATGTGGCTCCCGCCTTAGCGCCACGCACATTCGTGTTTAACCTTTGCAGCGGCTTCACGGAGTTAAGGCGCCCCACGCAATCGTTTTAAACAAAAAAATGCAAGCGCTTCACGGGTTGAGGGCGGGACGTTTTCAGAATCTGGCCCTCGCGTCAGCGCGGCGCACATTCGTTTAAACATCTGCTGGAGCTTCACTGGTTGAGGGCGGTTCCTTTTCAAAATGTGGCTCTCGCCTTAGCGCCGCGCACATTCGTTGCTGT